TTTTGGGTTTCACAGACTCCACAGCTAGCGGCATCAGTTGGTTTTCATCCAGTCGGAAGCTCTACGCCTTCTGTTTCTCATCAGTCAGGTCAGCAGGGCAGTTCTCAGCATACAGGGGCTCAAGGATGAGTCTATGCTTTGCCTCAAATTGATACTTCCGCTGGGACATCGACAGTACGAGGTATCTTTCTGGTCTTTAGTTCTTTGGCTAGAGTTCTTGTTAATTTGGGTACATCACATTCATTCATTTCTGCTTTATTTGCATATTCTTTGGATCTAAAGGCCACACAGCGAGACAATTTTCTCTGTGTTGACATACCCGTTTGGGTTTCTGTGTCTTTGGATCAAAATTTTTAAGGTTGTGCTATTGAAATAGCAAGGCGGACCTTAGGGTTCGATTTCGTTATCCACGACATGACGGGCCTTGACGTCATTCTCGGGATGAACTAGTTGTCTTTCTTTCAGGTTACGGTTGTTTCCTCCTATGGACAGGTGTCTGTTTGTTTTTCCAAGAGGGATCCTTTTCTTTCATGGGAGATCGGAGTGATTCCCACCCGGCGTTGGAATTCAGCATTTGGTGACCGGAGTCGCCACAAGTTTTACTTGGCTACTGTACTAGTCGAGAAAGATCGGGGTTTCGGGTCGTGTACTACCGGCAATTGTTGAAGAGTTTTAAGTGTCTTTTTAAAGGAGTTAATAGAGTTGCCTTTTATACGGGAAGTTATTTTTGCCGTTTATGTCATTTTCGGTACAATGCCGTCCCTATGGCACCGTATTGTATGACACCGGTAGTGTTAGATCAAGCTGAATGATCAGTTCTTCGTATGAAGAAGAAGGTTGGTTCGTTGCAACTTGGGAGGTGTTTTCGCTTTTGAGTTTCGTAGAGTCCGATCCATTGTCTGGAGGGCACAAACTTGTTAGGCTTTGGATTCATGATTAGAGGTTATTGATAAGGGTGTTTTGCAATGTAGGAGTCATTAGCTCTACTTGCATCGAGGATTTAAGGCTTTAAGCGTAGTGGTGCCTATGATGTTATTGTCAAAGTTTTGGGATTGGCTAAGGTGAACTGTCCGGACATCTTTGGAACATACCCCAATTCTCACAAAATGCCTGGTTCCCGTAGTGCTTTTGGTAACGATCATTTTTGGCATTGGTGTCATTTGAATAGAGAAGGTGGGCCAGGTTATGAGCTAGTACCTTATACTATTATGCTACCGTACCAAGTTGAGTATTATAGGCGAGTACTAGTTGCCGTCGATGCTACCTTACTGACGAGTAAGTGTGGGCAGGCACTAGACTCTGTCGTTACCACGCACTTGAGTATGTTGTGGGAAGGTTCTAGTCACTACTCTTTTTGCCATATCACTTTAGGCTAGGTGTCTTGTTTCGACGTGTCGTTGTCTTGGGGATTCCTTTGGTTTTTGACGTTGGGTTGGTTCGTCGGTCCGTTTGAGCGGTGTCTCTCGGTTCATGGTTTTGAGTTCCTTTATTTGATCTCAATGCTTTTGGAATCGTCTTTTAGCACTTTACAATCGGTCCTTTGGTCTGACCTTATGTTCTGTCCCAGTTCAGTTCCTCTCGGTATGTTCCTGATTTCGCGGACGAAATCTCTTTCAGGAAGGTAGGTTGTAATGACCTGGTCATTTTCCTTCCTTTTCCATTCTCTCAAATTCTATGGATAATTTTTTTCCGTTGATTTCTTTTTATGAGTTTTCTTTTTCCGTCATTTTTCGTTATCTTTGCATTTTGCGTAACCTATCAGGTCGTACTCAGATTTGATTCCAACTTTGCATGCATTCATTTTACTTGATTTCTATGTAATCCACATTTTTACTTTTATAGAAAAGCATACTAGATGTTTACTTTTGACCGTAGGGGTATAAAAGCAAAGATTCTTGAAAATTATTTTCTTTACATGGGGTGTTTTTCGTAATTATCTTTTGATGAAATTTTGTATTTAAGGTTCTTTTATATGTATCTTTTGAATGGTACCTCATTTTGGGCTTTATGATAAATTCACTTTTTGAGTTATCTAATGGAGGGGCATTTGTGTAATTATGGAAAGTTTTCAAAAAAGTTTCTCATTTTGGTTTCAACCTTTCATGAGGGGTTTCTTTTCACTTTTTATCCACTTTGTCTCATCCAGAATATTTTTTGTGATTTTTATTTAATTTATTTTAAATTTTCGAACCCCATTAGTCACCAATCTTGTCCGGGGCATATCTCCTCGCTCAGGGCTCGATTTTTGACCCCATTTCTTTTGTTAACCTTATAATTCCATTTCAAAACTTTTTTGTTCACGGACCATCGGCATTTGAGCGCGTCTTCATTGATTTCACTTTTTGGATCCAAACGAGCCCCGTTCGAACTGTTCGGGACACTTTTTTGACCTATTTAGAGTTAGTGGATGAGAGAGAAAGCATCTCTAACTTTTTATTTCCTAAAGTAGTTGCAGCAGCCACCATTTCTAGAGCTTGGAGGTAGCCTTCTTCTCTCTCCTCTTTTCATCTATTTTTTCTTTGATTTTTATCTTCACGGTTCATACTTTTTTGATCCCCTCGACGATGCGGTCATTTCTATCTGAACGGTTTCCAATTTGCAGCACTTTGATTCTTGGGTTGTGAGTTCAAGCTTGGATTTGGATCTTATTTCTTGAAGGTTTCTTGCCATCCTTGTTGTCCCGCCAAAACCCTAAAGTTTCTTCGCATTTTGTGGAGTTTGATTTTTGTGGGATTTGAGATTTTCATCTCAAGTCAGGTAAGGGGTATTTCATGTTTATAATCTTAGTGTTTTACATATTTTTGAGGTTTATATAACTTATATGCATGTTTAAAGTTTAGATCTAGAAATAGTTTTTCTTTTAATTGAATGATGATTTAATTTCTTAGTTAAAGCGTGCTTAAATTTAATTAATAACATGATATTTGGAGAGCCCTTATCTTGCAGTTCATCATATATTATTTTTGGAATTTTTGGATGACTTTTGAAATTTAGAGATTTTTAATTAAGTAAATTAATTAAAAATTAATTAAGTGTTTTAATGGCTTAATTGAACTTTTGATTTGATATTTGAGTTCTTCATGATATATTGCTTATTATGTGTTAATTTCATTTGGTGATATTTTACAATCTAGAGGAATTTATTAATTTTATATTACTAGCTTCCATTTAATGAAACAATGATTTGTTGGTATCTTTGATATTTTCAAGGCCTACTATGTTACATGCCATGATAGTTGAGGACTTAGGGCATGTCTTGTGTGTTCCCACAAATTGATTGTGTATGATATTCGATTATGTGCATTTGGTATATGTGTATATACTTGTTGTGCACAACTTATTGATTTTGGAAACTTTGGATGTCGTAAGAACGACCATGGCCATGGCAAGGCTCTAGTACGGGGGACAGAAGGAGCCTTCTATTTTATAGTGTGCACTTAAGGGGCAAACACCCATTGTCTAGTAACCTAAATGATGCTTGGGTCCAGTTTTATTCCAGCTTGACGTCCAAGTCTCCGCTTGTTTGATTTTGCATTTTAAATTCCAAGTTGTTTACTTTGCGAATTTATATTTTGTTATTTGGCATTTGATGTTCAATATTGCTTAGTTGCTTATATATTGTGGTTTATGATGTGGATGTTCTAATGTAGCTTAGGATAATCCCTTGGGGCCCGTTTACTAACGCTTTTACTTTCTTACTTTTGCTTTTTCGAAAAGTAAAATCATGATTTTGATTTCTTTGAGATGAAGCAGAAAGTAAAATTATGTTTAGTAAATTGCGAGCTACTTTTGAAATTTGAAAGCAAAACATAGAAAGTGTGTTTAGTAAATTATTGTCTACTTTTGAAATTTGAAAGCAAAACACAGAAAGTGTGCTTAGTAAAAAATAATAAATTTCTATTTTTGCTTTTGGTTCTTGAATTGCTTTTGGTTCTGATTTTGGTTTTCTTTTATGAGATTCCATTTTCTTTTCTTTTTTTAATAAAGAAATGTATAATGAATAAAACGGAAATTAACATTTGCCTACATGAAATATAAATAGAGCATGGACAAAATTTCAGGTCATAGTTTAATGGTTCTTACAGATTGCATGGGTAGGGATCCCAACTGCACCTGCCTGGCTTCCAACACAAATGTTCATTAAGGTACTGTCAAAATTTTCAGCTTGTTCTCATGTGTAGCTCACTATTATGACTTTATTTCTACAGTTGAAATTGCTAATTTTTTTTTTTAGAAAACCAAGACTTGAAACAGAGTCATTTTAAGGTACTTATTGTTTGCTTACTTCTTGTGTTTGCCTGCATTCTGATAGGCTCAATTATGAGAGAATGTAAATTATATGCTCCTCTGGCAAAATTTTAAGATCAGATGATGGTTATCGATATTGCTTTCCTCATGTGGTAATATTTAGAAGAAGAAAAAATAATTTTCTTGAGGATTCTTTGGTTTGTCATCAAATGGCTACTTTTTGTGTTTTTTAAAAAAATATATGCGATTTTTGTATATCTGTCAAAATTTAACGCGATTTGTTTGGAGATGATGCTAATAATGTCTTTTTCTGTATCTTCTACCACTGTTTATAAATGCATTAGATCTGTCATATATGAGAAAGTGCATTATTCTTTAGCAAAAAGAGATCAAATGTAAATATGTATATACTGAAGTGTAAACTTCTACAAAAACTAATGGGAAATTGGGAATATATTGGTTATCAATCTAATCTAAATGCATCCCAAATTGGTAGCCTACAAAAACGTAATGACTCTGAGACTTGAGCAACAAAATCCAAATCAGATGTGAACCCTTCAAGATCATTCTTTAACAGATGACTGGATAGAGCATTCAGAAGGAAAATCAGATAAGGATAAATATATTGAACTTCATAGGAAATTTTATGTCTGATTTATAAGACGAGAAATTTGGAGTTAGCATACACATAATATCAAAAGGATGCAGATTATAACATAAATTCAAATGGCATTTAGATACAAAATTAATCCTAATAAAAATGACAATATTGCAATATCCAAATAGAAAATTAATCCAAAGTGACAATATTACAATATCCAAGTTGAAAAATAGAAAAATAATCCTAATAAAAGTTACAATATTATAATGAGCAAATAGAAGTGATTCATCTATCATGATAGTTGTTCCACAACTCATTTGCAACTGCATCACGGGTTTCACTCATCTCTTGAATTAGCTCCTATGTAACATTTACTCTCTGAGAAGTACCACCTAACTCCACTTCTTCTTCTTGAAGATTGGCATTCTCATCCCCATATTCATCAAAAAGACGATCTAAATGGGTTTCGTTACGAATAAAATTATGTAATGTGCAACAAGCAATAACGATAAGTGTTTGTACACTCAGTTTGTAAGGAGGCATCAACTTAAGGATCGGCCAACGCATTTTTAATATACCAAAACAACGTTCTATCACATTTCTCAATACAACAATTAACACACTTCTACAACTTATTAGATCCGAATAAAATAACCTAGCATTGAACATATAATACTGTAAAATAATATAAGGAACAAAATCTTTATATTACAGTAACTAAACACAATAAAGATGCTGTCTGGTTATGTGCTTGCCTCACCATTCAAGTTTAGAATGACTGTTCAAATATAAGAAAATCTGAAATTTATCCATGTTTTACCAAATTGCCAGTATAAGATTGATGAAGATGGTATATGTTATTTTATCTGTTTAATTTCAAACCTTTTTAACTTAGTTCTACACTTGTTAGTGAAGCATCCACTCAAATAAAGATTAGACCCAATCATGGGTGGTATGGATAGTTGGAGCTAACATACTGTCATCAAGATGAAAGAACCTCTAGGCTTCTGTTCTTAATGTAGACTTCAATTTCGACTTGAATAGAAGGATGAATAAATTATCCACCTTCAAAAATCAGAAGAAATAGTAAATTATTCACTCATTTTGCACACTTACTTTTAAAACTCTTCATGGTTTTATTTGTAAGTTTAAAATTTAGATGTTAATATGAATTAAATATTTAGATGATTGAAGGTCTAGGTTTAGCTATATTAACCAACAAATTGTCTCAAAATCACTATATATAAGCTGTCAAATTGCAAAAGTAAGTTTTTCATTATGTTATAAACCATACTGCCTTTATATATGGACAAAATGAACATGTGATGAAACACTAGTTCCTGCAGAAATCAACATTACATAATAGATAGCAAAACCCATCTCACATAGTTATATTTTGAGAAGCAAACAACCTTGATTTTATTTTCATTTACTCCCAAAAGAAGATATAATGATTGTCAAATGTGGAAAGTTCTTTGTTAAAACTACTCATCACCACAGATTTAGAGTAAATCAATTCAAGTATAGGTGTCTTTCGACCTTGAATAGCTATAAAGCATGGATGGAAAAAAGGAACAGAGTCACAAAAAGGAAAATGTTGTCTATAAATTTCAAGCAATTTCATTATTACCCAAATCAGAATAAATCCTGAACATGAATTAAAACTAAAAAAAGAGGCTTTAAAAGTAGCAGATGAAGCCATTATTTGTAAAATAAATTCTAGAATAACAAATTAACAATACAGCCTTGCAAGCATGAACCTTTTACTTCAATTCGAACATGAAACATAATTAAATAATCAAAATTAACCATATATAAGACATACATACAATAAAAGAACAGAAAATGAAAGGAACGTTGAATACCTTAGAAGTACTAGTTGGAGAAGAACTCAAGCACGAATTTGTTCTTGAAAAATCTACATTGGAAAGAAAATTGAAGTTTAAGAACTCAGTTGTAGAAGGTGAAACCCTAGAATTTCCATGGAAATGGACACTGATACCAAATGGGTACTGTGCAGATGATGTACCCATCAAGAAAAGAGATAATCCAATTCACCAGAACCAATCAATTCCAAGAAAAAACAACCTTTTAGAGACGACATTCACCAGAACCAATCAATTCGAAGAAAAAGCAAGCTTTTAGAGACGACACTTACAGTTAGGAATTGGAAGACCCAAATTGAAACCCAGAAGACTATGAAATCAAGCTCACAGAGAAAACAATTTTCGTTGTTGTTCACTAAATCAAAATTCGGAAAGCAAATGGTACTAAAGACAAACATAGCATAACTGGACAGAAATGATTACATAGGGACCGAGTATTGGACCCAATATAGATGAAATTGAGGCCCATATTGATGCAACTATTACCAAAAAAAAAATAAACGAAATCCAAAACCAGAACTTCTCATAGAAATTACACAAAGAAAAAAAGATATTTCACTCATAAAAATGATACAGGAAGAGAAATTGCAGATTCTAAGGCAAAATCTTCATATACGAGAAGAGAGAGAATTTGAGAAGAAAGAGAATTTGAGAAGAGGGAGAATCTGAGAAGAGAGGGCGAACTTACCAGTGGTGTTGTTGGTCGGCCGTTGAGTCTCCGTTGCCGATCGATGCTCGCAGATGAGGGATGACAATCACCTGGTAGAACTTTCTTGAAGAGGCGAGAGGCTAGGGCTTGGATGTTACGGATGATGATAAAAAAAAAAAAAAAAAAAAAAAAAAAAAAAAAAAAAAAGGACGGGTTTTAGGTTTTACTTACTTTCGCTACAGTGTCGAAATTACTTCCTCCGCACAGTACAAGTCCTATAGGAAGTAGAGAAAGTGAGATTTTCTCTTCACAAATTTAGGAATTACTTCCTCAAAATAAAAAAGTGAAAGTAATTTAATAAAAAAGTGAAAGTAATTTAATAAACGTGATTTTACTTTTATTTTTGTTTTTTCAAAATTGAAAGTAGAAAGTAGGAAATAATTCCTGTTACTAAACAGGCTCTTAGTCTCACCTTGGACATAGACGTTAGGTGGCGTGAACCATATTGATTGATTTATATAAACTTATAAGGACTTACAAAACTTTAGGTTATACGCATGTTCATTTCCTACGAGTAACTTGTTTACTCACCCTCGTTGTTTGGGACATATTTCGTGTGAAAAACCATGCTTTAGGGATGCACAACATCCTTGAAGCTTGCTTGTGACTTAATGAGTTGGCGTATTTCTATTCATGCACTTATTAGCATGACTTTGCTTTATTTTGAGTTTATTTTTACAAAACTTGTAGTTTCTATTTGAGATATGTAATAAGTACCAAAATGTATCCTTTAAGACCTATTTGACATGTATATGATGAGGCCAAGGACTAAGAACCTCATACTTTACCTTTATGTTTTTTTAATGATTTTTGGGGTTCAAGCATGGTAAATTTTGCATATGGTGTATTTTGAGGTCATGGACCATTTTCACACACTTCAAAACACTTATTACATTTGCGTGCACAATCGTTTTAGCCCATAACTTCATATTTAATCATTTTAGCCTACAAAATCTAGTTTAGGGGCATTTTGGAAATTTTTCTTCAAAAATATATTCCGATCTCTACATGGTCACTTAGAAAATATGATTTTAGGAGGGGTTTCTTCACAACTTTTTTCCAAAAAATGTCGTCTCAGCCTCTAAAACCCCGCGTCAAATCTGATTTCCTAGTGCGCACTTCTTCAAAAAAAAAAAAGTGTAATCTCAAAAGTATTTTGGGCATTTCAGGTCAAAAATAAATTTTTCTTTCGACATGGTCAGTTTGGAAAAATTATTTTATAGGGGGTTTCTTCTTCGTATTTTTCCAAAACAAAAGTTGTTTAGTGCCTCAAAACGGCACACGATCTTCAGCATTTTCTGCCCAGGTACTGTTCATTGTTGGTGCGTCCCTCGGCCCCGACGACGCTCGTTTTGTTTTTGCTCTTTCTACCTCGTTCGGACTACGAATCAAGTGATTATTGAGTCTAACTTCATTAATTTTTTGTTGTCTATCCAATGGTATGCTTGGTAGCATCTACAACTTTTTAAAAATTATGATTTTGCCCCTAAGGCTAAACTTGTCCGTTTTTTAAAATTTCTTTTCCGCATTTTTGTTTTCTTTTAAGTTCTGTGGCTTCATGGGAAGTTATATTTGTGTCTTAGAGATGACGTACATCTCTTGAGACTTTGTTTGCACGTGAAATGACCATTTTGCCCTTGGGGCATATTTGGTCTATTTTCACCTCTTGCTTCCGCGTTTGTTCTTGTTTCCGCTTCCACATTCCGGATCCGTTATCGGGTCAACTTTTGGATCGCATTAATTATCCGGGTTTGTGAAAATTCGGAACGTCACATAGTAGTAGTTGCACTGTGGTCAAATAGCATTCGCAATGTGGTGCGATATTACTAATTATTATAAACAATGAGAGTTAACACACTATGAATCAATATTCTAAATTTTTTTATTTTTCCTTTGGAAAGAGCGTTTTATCCTTTTGGGTGATCGAAGTTCTGCAATTGGATCATTGTCAATGCTATGCTTCTGTTGTATTATTGTCAATGCTAAGTTCTTCTATTGTATCCTTGTATTGGCTGACTTTTTTAACTGTTTGTGCTACAAAGAGGCTTCTGATTAATTCATCATTGTTGTCTATTTTCACCAGAAACATAAATGACTTTCCTTCACATCTTTTAACAATGTCACTGAACTCATTTGTTTCTTCTTCCTTTAAATATTTATAAGAAAAAAAAAAAAACTAACCTTATTTTTCTTTTATAAATTATATATATAATTTATTATATAATGTAATGCACAATTTTTTTCCTTCTATAAAAGTATTATTAATGATTTCAAATTGTCACCTCATTTTTTAGTCGCAGAAAATCTTCCAAACAACAATTTATTAGTGACTGACAATCATAAAAAACTGTTATCTTTGCTTTTGCATTTGTATCTGTCAATTTTAGTCGCATCACAAATATGCATAATGACTAATTACAATAATAAGTTATTTACTTTTATAAAGTTTTTAAAACTAATGTAATTTTAAAAGTAATAATTGTAATAAAAAAATGAATACCTTTGAACGCATTTTACATTCATTCTTTATGTTACAATTGGTACAAACAATGTCATTGTTTAGTAGTTTGACTTTCTTGTTGCATTCCATACAAGCGTCGTACCATGGTTTCTTTTCATTTTCAATTTCTTGAATTGTTGCTTCGAAATAATAATTTGTTTTCTAAACAATGATAAGTTAATTTTATTTTTGTATGAATAAATTTTTTTAGAAAAAAACATTTAATATGAAAACTAATATAATAAATTAAATAATGATGGAAAGTCTATACTAAAAAACAAATGTATATAGATCATACCATAAATGCAGTTGTTGATTTTCCAATAATCTCATTGAGACAAATTTTTTTGGCTCCATCAAAAGCTTTAGATCTTGAATTCATAATGAGAGCACCTATATCATTGCCAGATATAGTTTTATCAAACCTGCATTTGTAGTATGTATGTGTGATAACTTAATTTGTATGTATGTAATGATTACTATATATATTGAATACTTTAAAGTATTTAAATTTATTGATCAATGTAACTATTTTTAGTGGAAGAAAACAAATCATTTTCTTAATATGTTTACTTCATCGATGTTCATGTTGATCTGCAATGTGGATCTTGGATGTGTTTGAAGAGCAACACCTTAAAAATACAATTATTTAATTATATATTTGTAACATCATAAGGAAAGATAGATTGTAAAATGAGAACATTGATTCGAAAAAAAGAAGAGAAAAATGAGAACATTGATGTCTATTTATATGTAGGGTACCTTTGTAAATGCTAACTACCACATTTGTTAAAGTAATTATTGGTCTCTCGTTTACCATTTGCATTATTTTTTCTCCTTCATTTTCTGCAAGGTCTGCCCATAATGTCAATGTCGTCATTCTTGACCTGTTATATTTTTTAATAATTACTTCAAGTTTTTATTGTAAAAATAGGAATTTGTGAAAAATAGTTTTACTTCTTTGTATCTATTATAGTGATGTTACACATTTTAGATATTCCATCACTTTTCTTTTCAGATTTGATCAACATGGAATTTGCTTGAATAACGATTCCGAAAGCATCTGCAAGCTTAACAAGTTAGTTTAATATATTCAATTGAGATATATTGTAATTCACAATTGAGTTCAATGTTAAAAAATATATATATAAACAAAGAGTTGAAGGGAACTAACCAATTGTCTCCTTGCTGTCAATGTGTTTGTTTATCTCTTCGAAATCAACAAAATTGTAATTTATTTTTTTCAAACTTATTTTCTCTTTCTCAATGATTTCAATTGATGTTTTAGTTGTAAACTTTAATTTGAATTCCTTGTGAACATTTCTATATTTGTAGTTCACTCGACTCACAATTCTATTAGAAATTATATAAGTTTTATGAAGAGCTAGGGATTCCTTGAATATGGTGACCACATCATTGAACAATGCAGCTTGAATTTGTGTTCCCTAAATTATAAAAGATGATCAATTAATATTGACATTTATATGATATATATATATATATATATATATATATATATATATATATCATATATCAATATCAAAAAATATAAATATAGAATACTAAAAGAAATGGATAATATACTTACTTCTTCATCCATTGGAATTACTTTCAATATTTGGCCTGATCCTTTGTCATTATGGTAGTTTTCAACATTTGTAAAACATTTAGTGAATTTATAGTGTTAAAAGTACATTGGTTCCTCATGTTGAAGATTGTTTCTATAACACAAGATAAAAACAATAATATGTTTAATGTAAGTGAAAAATTGTAAATAATAATAATAATAATAATAATGTAAGTGAAAGATTGCAATATATATATATATATATATATATATATATATATATATATATATATATATATATATATATATATACGAAAACTTTCTTACATGCTCGGCAATAAAACCTCTTTATAGACAACATTGTTTGTATATTTAGCATTGCCTTCAATTCTTTGGTCTTTTTTAACATATACTTTAGTTGTCGACATTGATGTTCCTCTAGATAATGCCACATATAGTTGTCTATGTGAGAATACATGTTTTGGATGATATATTCCTACATAAGGAATTGCTTGCCCATGTGCCTTATTTATTGTCATTGCAAAACTTAATCGTATTGGAAACTATTTTCTAGTAAAACAAAAAGGCAATCCCTCACTCTCTGCTGGGGAAAGAAGTATCCTTAGAATCAGTACTTGTTTCCCTACATGTTGTCCATGGCAAATTTCAGTAGCGATTATGTTCTCTTTTGTGCCACGACATATAAGCCTAGTCCCGTTACATAATCCATTTGCAGGATCTAAATTTCTTAGCAAAAGTATAGGACAATTAATTTTCAATGTTAGTCTATCAGGTGGAAGGCCGTTTGGGAGTAAAGAATTCAGAAATTCTTCTTGGTTGTAGGTACCAGCATCATCATTTACTTTATCAAAGCTATAGTATGTTGAAGATTCTCCCGGAAAACGTTCAATGAGCTGACCGTTTATTTTATCAACAAAATCATTTCTTGTAGCTAAAATTGCTCGATTAGTAATGTATTTTGCTGAGTGAGAATTTTCTTGAAGGGACGGAAATATAGCATCTATCAATGCATTTTCAGAGTTTTCTTCAATTACATAGTTTATAACTATCTCTTTCGATAGTTGAATCATGTTGTCTAATAAAGTCAGTTTCTCTTCGTCGCCTGCTCGTAGTAAAAATTCTGTAAATGATTGATCATTTCTTGCTCTCATGTTCTTTTTTAATTGTATTTTCTTCTTCTTCTTCTTCTTCTTCTTCTTCTTCTTTTTTTTTCCCATAATTTAGACTTTACCAGACTTGCTTCAATAGTTTCAACTCTAGTCGCTTGAGGTAGTACGGGTAACACTTGTTTGAAATCTCCGCCAAAAACCATAACTTTTCCTCCAAAAGATAAATTATTGCCAAGTAAATCTTGTAAAGTTCTATCAACTGCTTCAATTGCGTAACGTTTAGCCATTGGTGCTTCATCCCAAATAATTAGTTTGGTTTTTCGTAAGAGTTCTGCAGTTGAACTTTGCTTGGAAATGTTACAAGTAGTTGACTTGTCAGCTATGATAGGAATCTTAAATCTTGAATGTGCAGTCCTACCACCGGGTAATAATGAAGAAGCCACTCCAGAAGTTGCAGTTGCAAGTGCAATTCCATGTTCAGATCTAACCTTCGTAAGTAATGCACGGTACAGCACGTTTTTCCTGTACCCCCTGGCCCATCAATGAAGAAGATGTTTGGTTGATTTGAGATTATGCATTCAAGTATAGTTTTATATGTATTTTCTTGCTCATTGTTAAGATTTACCATTGCATTGTAATCGTCAGACGGAGTAACAATAGCCATTTCGTTGCTGATCTCTCTAAAGGAATCATAACTGTTGGAATCATTCGCATAATCAATGAGTTTTCTACCCATGCTTATTAAAGAGTTTTCTATGCTCTTAAGTGTTTCCATGAGTTGGTAGTCAGGGGAAGAATTGGGGTCAGGTAAAAAAATCTTCTGACATAATTTCAAAATAGTCATCCTAAAGTTTTCTAACATTACTTAGGTCACAAAAAACTAATAAAGTTGCAAAAAGCCTTTGAAAAGCCGTTGGCATTTAGAAGCACACAGCATCGTTGAGGCACTCAACAATGCTATTATCGCTTTCAAGGAGACCTCTTCTTTATGCCGACTCTTTAAATGTTACACATTGAAGATCATTAACATATAATAAATATTTATATGATGTTGGTCCACGCACGTGGTTTAACAATAATCTTAAATAATACATTTCTCCTTCAGAAGTGTTGGCAGCATTAACTTGTCCTATTACCGCCTTGTGGTGTCCGAGACTCCAACATTTATTTTGCTTGTTCTAAACATAATGCTCCAGAATCTCCCTATAGAAATAGTCTCTACTTATTTAAGATATAGAGTTTAAATGAAAGAATTCCGCCAACATCGTATGTGATATATTTTCAAAACGAATGATATATTCTAGGTTTTTGTTCTCCCAGTACCAAACTATGTGTTTATTTGGAAGGTGTAATTAGAGGTTGGTCACCGAAGGATACATCTCATTTAAGTTAAACTCATAAATTTTCCACATTGCTTCTTGTGGTGATACCCATTCCTGATATTCTTTTATTCCATCTACGAAATTCCCTCCATCAACATTTGAGATGTGAATCGCAACACGATCATGTCCCTTGTATATATATTTATAGAGATATTTTACTACTGTTATTCCTGAGCATATCTCAACATTTATATAGCAGCCATATCTCTTTAAAAGATATGGATTATAAGGAACAACACATCTGTTATCTAACATTGCATTACGCACAAAGACTATTTGGCTGTCTTTGCTTCTTTTGTATATAGGGTATGAATCTTTACTTTGAATCGTATGTTCGACAAATTTAAGTGGATAAAGATTTTTACATTTCCCATCCTTCATGCATGCATTCTTTTTGTCGAGATCTCTGCAAGGACCATGAATCATATGTTTCACTACTTTCCGATAAAGTTATGGATTTTCATTCTCAGAAGGAATTTCTGCACAAATCAATTTGTCGTATTGTTCTACATTTGTAATTTTGAATTTAGATTGAAATATGAGCAATATGTGTGCGTGTGGCAAACTTCTTTTTTGAAACTCAATCACATGAACATGCGCTGCCACTTTTCCAAATATCGATCTTTTAAATAATTGTCACTTCATGTCATATAGCTTTGCTCTGAACACTCTAGCTGTTAAATCTGGTCTATCTTGTGGTAATTGTCCAAATTTCAGTTCGTCGCGAATTTCTTTCCAATCAGGATTACAAGTCATTGTAATAAAAAGGTTTGGTTTTTCGAATCTCTGAACCAAACACATGGCATTAAAGTATCATCTATGCATATCCCTAGGTCCTCCTATGAAAGAAGCGGGAAGAACAACCCGTTTTCCAACTTTATCTCCTCTAGATTCTCCTGCCACAATGCTATCAACAATTCCTTGGTATAATTCGAATCGAATATGTGATTGTTGTGTCCTGTAGTAATTTAAACGAGTCGATTCAAGCTCATATCAACCACATATTGTTGCAAAAGTCTTCCAGCATATAATAGAATTGATCGTTCTTTTTCACGTATTTGGAGTTTGCAGCAATAATATATATAAAGGAAAATGAGCACTTTTCTATTTAGGAAAAAAAAAATGAGCACTTTTTTATTATTATTTTTTAATTTATTGATTTAACAAAAAAGGGAAAGAAGTGGAAAAAAAAAAAAAAATAGTAATTGGCTATTTAATGCAGGCGAAGTGAAAGGCAGGAACATAAAAAGGACAAAATCTAAAATATTTGGGTGTCTCAAATTAAGGAATTAAGGCCGACTTCATAAGAGATGTGGGCTATTATCTTAGGTTCGAATTCCTCTTTCCCTTAACTCTACTAACTCTTACTCCCTCTTTCCCAAAATACATGTCCTGTTCGGAAAATTTAACTTTTTTTGGTAGTATAATTTTAATAGTCATTAATGTTATAAAAAATAGTATATTCAATTTTAAAATAAGACATCTATTTTTTGAGACATTTCAAAATGAAAATATGAACAAGTATTCTGAACTGTGGGAGCAATTATTAACTCTCAAAATATTCATTTTCAGGTAAAAAAAGAAAAAAAAGAAAAAAGAAGAAGAGGTGACTTCATAATTGGCTGCTTCTTTGTTCACACCTAGGAAATCACTAAAACGTGAAAATCATGCCAAATGAATACAACCCACAAATAACAATTTTACCCTAGGTACGTAACAGCTGTTAATAATTTACAAAAATGACGCGTTCCCACTGATCGACCTCACACAAAGTCTCTCTTTTGAACGCGTTTATCTAAGTGCATGCACATCGTAGCCTCATTGTGTAACACACACATTCAATGCAATTCGTATATTAAATTGCCACACAAGTCAAAAATTTAGACCTAACTTTCAAAATTCAATCAATCTGTTTCATTCCTAATTCTAATTCTTCCTACTATTCTAATTCTTCCTACAACATCTACTTAATTACTGGAAAATAAAAAAATAGAAAAAAATTGTGCTACAATATATTAGTTCTCTATTTAAAAGAGAAGAAAAAAAATATTAGACACTTGATAATCTTTTTTATTAAATTTGACGCGTGTGGTTAACAATACTAATAGATGTTTACCAAATTTTATAAAATGACAAATTTTACTTTATAATATAAGAACATTACTAACATTTCATATTTAAAATTATTTTCTATTAATAGCCTAATGAATTTAAAATATGTCAAAATAATAAACGCATAACACTCTACTCACCATATAACACTAAAAACTTCGGGTTTCAAATGGTGTCTCTCGACTCTCCATTCAATGCCTACCATTTTGATTACTGAATTGATTAGTAGGTTAAGGACCAATAGGTAACTGAGTATATATATATATAAAGTTGAAAAGGTCTGTAGAGAAAGTTTGTTGAGATAATTTGAAATTAAAAATTGTGAATAGGATTTAAAAGAGTTTAGCTACCATTCTATTTTCAATATTTTATTTTATTTTATTAAAAAAAAATTGATTTTTATGTTCAAAAGAAACTTCACGCCTTGACAACGTTTTATATTTTTAAATAGTTTTAGTAAGTAAATAATTTAGTAATTTATAATCTCTCTTGACATTTCCTTTGTGTCCAATACACGTTTTTCAATAATATTGCATCTGAATAAATTAATTAAAAGGAGAAGAAAGAAGACCAATCTCGTATTGTTTAAAAAATGAGTATCGATTTTTATTAGAAGCAAAATTATATATACATTTAAGAGCACAAAATATCCCCAAAAAACAATATTAAAAAAAAAAAAGAAAGAAAAAAGCTCATGATAAAATTCCAAGGCAAGAATTTAATCCACTTAGATTGCCAAAAACACACACACATATCATCATCATTTACAAAGAATGAATGAACATTAAAATGTCATTCCAATGAAAAAATAACCCACTAAATTAAACCTCAATCATATACAGAGACATTTAAATTTCTTCAGTACATATATGACTTATAATATGAACCAAAAAAAAAAAAAAAAATGGGTCCAAAATAGACCTTCAAGCTCAACGAATAGGCCATTTGAGGGGTGAATATAGTAATTAAGAGTAGAGTACCAAACGTTTGGCACAAAGAGTACATAAAAACTTCCTCTTGATCATAAAACAGAGTGTGAATCGAAAGAAAAATCTCCATTGGGTTTCAACATCCACAGCTTGCACCTTCCCTCCACAGTATGGACACGCTCCAGGAGCTTGCTGTCTCCCCAACTCTCTCTCCTCTGCATCAAACACACGCAACGCCATATACATTTCCTTCCTTCCTTCCTTGTACTATTACTTTCTCTCTCTATATCTCTGCATCAAACACACACAACACCATACACATTTCCTTCCTTCCTTCCTTCGTTGTACTATTACTTTCTCTCTCTAGATCTCTATCACTCTATATATATTTTGTGTTTGTCTGTGTGTGTGTCTCTCTCTATATACATGGTATGTTGGGGGTTTTGGGTTATGGGATTTGAGACGTGTTGAATTTGTGTTGAATTTGCGAGTCTGTTGTTAGACCTTGAAAACGACTTTATTGATAAGATTTTACCAGAGTTGCAATAAACAAGACAAGTGTAGTCGGCGTACGCCCAATGTTTTGGAATAGAGAATTAACAGGCTTCCGTCTAACTTATGCAGTCGGCGCATCGGCCAACATACTCTACTAATTTGCGCACATGAAATTACTATTTATCGTTTCTTTTAGGGGTGTGGATAATACTCTCATCCATTCCGACAGCGCCACTCATTACCGACTTTATTGGAGACGAATTTAAATGATTTAAGTTAGGTTTTGAGATGACATTTCACACTAGAACACTATATTATTGGGTTTACTTTATACTCATCACTAGTTTAAAAAATAAAAATACGCTTTATTTTTACATTTTTGTGTGACATTGTACTTAATTTCAGAAGGTGTTATTGTAATTTATTTTTAAGTTTCAATAAAATTATTAGTACTTTTGCTTTTTTTTTCCTTCCTAATTTTAAATTCTTCGGAGTATTATATTTTGTTTTCTATTTTTTTTAACTTCAAATTTTTTGGAGTATAACGTTAACACATTAAATGATATGTTAACACACTTGACTAGTCAGTGTCTCACAACACTTCTTTGTGAGACAACAAGTTCTAGTTATAGTTGAGTTTTTTATTTTCTAAAAAAGATTAAATAGATAAAATGTAAGAGTTTTAAAAGTATATGATAGGAAAGTGAGAAAAAACTTAAGAGTAAATTTTTTTAATGTTCATCCCTTAAGGATGAATAAAATATATCTAAGGATGAATTAAATTGTAGGGTCACTATTAACACATACTATTAGTTAGG